AAAATCCACTTAAATCGGTCATTATTAATGAAAAAAAATATATAATGTCAGTACTTGTTTATGAAGTAAAGTTTTTTTTTCTTTTTTTAATGATACTGGTGATCATTTTGCTTTTGATTAAAGAGGAGGCATTTTTAATGCATTGTTTACTTAAGACAAATGAATCATCTTATGAAGAGAAAGGACACATTTGGCCGCACTTCCAAACTGTGCTAAGCATTAGATCAATATTTCCTGTGCCAAACCAAGCAAATTTAAGTTTTATTGATCACATCACGCACTTTTATCAAATAAACTCTTTAAGTACTGATCCATTAGGAATGTTTATGTACCAGATATTTCACTACAAGGTCTAATTGGGCTTAGCTTTAAAAGTGCCTGTTCTGTTTAGCAGCAGGAGTTGGCACCTACTCAGTTTTTTTTTCCTGTCAGTTATCACAGACATGCTAAAAAAATGTCTTTGTTTGTTCCAAGTTTGTTGGATAATTGATATGAAGGCACAAACATAGCGAGGAAGAGCTTTCCAGTAAGACTAGTTGTCATTCAGGCTTCAGGAAAGGTGTTTATTTTTCAAATCCTAATGACTGCACCCAACTCAGAGTAGATGTTAGAGCATTACAGTTTACATAATTCCTTTGGAAACAAAAAACCCACATTGTTTTTGCTGTTTGTTTGCTTTTTACTCTGTATTGGTCTGTGTCAAGGTGCTTCCTGAGATGCTTCCAGTTTTTCAGGGGCCTAAATGTCAAATGCTGACTGATTAATCTTGTTGAATGTTTCATTGACACTGTATGTGGAAGCTTTTATTTTTTACTCAAATGAACTGAGAGCTTTGTTTAAGTGATGTCAGTACTGCATTCTTCAGGGTTTTCAATGACATGTTTCACCTTAGATCCACCAATGCTGCATTTCAATCTTTCAGAAAAAGCTTCGATGGGAGTGAAGCAGTCGGCTGTTGAGTTACCATTTACTGTAAAACTGTTCACAATAAATACCTTTTTTTATATAATATATATACATGGCTCAACAAATAAAGGGAACATGTAAAAAACAAACTGTGAAATCAAACTGTACTCTTAGGAAGCAACACTGATTGATATCAATTTCACATGCTGGTCAAATGGACTAGACGGGTTGAAATTATTGGCAATTAGTGTTGGAGGGTTCATGTGCGACACATTTGCAAACCAAATTGTGTGGATACTGTGTCACTGAATTGTGCCACCGGCTGGGCATTTAAAATCACTACATGCAGCCTCTAAGACAGACTAAACTGATGCTGATTTGATGACCTTTAATATGATTTAAGCCATTGTTTGCTTTAATGTGCTATTTCATATCTGTCATTTAAACTGAAAATACATCTTAGATGCAATCCAGAAATGTAAACATACAACATGAAAATGTAAGCGCACATGTGAATAAGGATGTTTGTGGATTAGGATTTAGGCCTATTTATTGATTTAAAATACTAACTAAAGTGATAACAGCAAATCAATAGTTTCAGATAAGTTGAGTGAGAACTGAGAGGAACAGGATGAGACAAAATAATTAAAACAAATATGAGATCTAAATGTTCCCACTTGGCTGAATCCTCTCGTTTGCCTTGAGGCTCCTCCATATTTCTTGATTAATTTCATAATAATCCACAAAAGATTAGAATTTTTTTTTTTTTTTTTTGGCAGATGCTCTTAAACGCAGTTTAGTACTTTGATTTAAAACAGCTTGTTTTGCTGTTAAAGGACATGTCATAGAATGATTCTATAGGGTATTTGGTGTTGTCCTTAAGCTCTCTGAATAGGCTGTGTAACATTGGTTGGGCTGAAAATGGCATATTTGCTGTTCTATGAGCCTGATGCAAGCCTGGTTAAAAGACCTAGAATGAAACAAGTTTTCTTTTTATGCTCAAGAATATTTAGATGAGCTGTGCCCTGATTGGTTGGTTTACAACGAGCGAAGCTGCTGAGCAAAGACGCATCATAGCAACAAGCACGCACTCACTGAAATATTAAAATTGTTGATATGGTGGGGGACCAGGCATCCTCCTTTTCCCGGACATGTCCTAGTTTTCATACCTAAAAAAATATATCCGGGGGGAATTTCAAAATTGTCTGGGATTTTGGTCTACTAAAGTGCGGCAGAACCAAGCCGTGGGCTCTTGGGCTGGTCTGGGGACTCCGGCGGAGGAGGGCAGGAGGGAGCCAGTGGGGGACGGAGCGTCTAAACCCTGTGCTTCCCCCCGCCTGCCTTACCGGCCCACAGCCCACCCTCCTCCGGCTGAGGACGGGCGGCTCATGGCCCTCTGCTGAAGTAACCTGTGGAAACAACACCTGAGGCCAACTTCAAGCAACTTGGAAAAATCTCCATTAAATGTGGTATATCCCAAAAGGACGCTCTGAACCCCCTCAGCCAAATAATTAACAAGACTGGCTATGGATACCTACTCAGAAATGGGGCCACTATTAACATACTCCTGTACATGGATGACATCAAGCTTTATTCTAAGATTGAATGACACATTGACTCTCTGATCCACACCACCAGCATCTACAGCAGGGACATTGGAGAGTCTTCAGGCTAGAGAAATGTGGTCGGATGGTGAGAAGGAGAAGGGAGGTAATCCACAATAAAGGGATCACACTCCCAGAAGGGAGAATAGCAGACGTAGAGGAGAGCTACAAGTACCTTGGAATACCACAGACAAATGGCAACCACAAAAAAGCTACAGAGAAAGCTACAACAGCCAAATGGCCAACCACCCAGACATTTTGCACACTGATAAGCAGCAGAGGACAGCTGTAGTGATTGATCTGGACATCCCAAATGATTGAAAAATCAAGAAATAATAACACGATGAACTGGAAAAATATCAAGGCCAGAGGGAAGAACTAGAGAGAACCTTAAGGTGAAGCCAATAGTTGTGCCTGTGGTCACAGGAACACTCAGGGAAGCAACCCCCAAACTGGAAAAGTGGCTTCCTTGAGGATACCTGGAGAAACATCTGAGATCTCAGTCTGGAAAAGTGCGGTTCTAGGGACAGCTAAGATACTGAGAAGTATCCTCAAACTCCCACGTCTCTGATGGAGGACCTGAGCTTGAGATGAAGCAGCCCCCCACCCCACCCAGGAGTACAAGGTGTGGGTTTTGTTGTGTTTAGCAAAGTCTTTTCAGGTTATTCCCTGACTCACTCAGTAGTTGATGTGGAAAGAACAATCAAAGTATCAACCAGTAATAATTAAAGTAATCAAATTATCTCCTAACCTGCAGTCATAATGAGGTATTTCATTTAGGGAAATTACAGTTTTAAAAGAATAAGTGAATCATTCAGTTTAGATTTAAACATAAAAAACTAGTACTTGTTAATAACTTTTGTTTAGAATCGAGGTTGGGGGAGTTGGAATATGAACATGATTGGGGCTTCATAGGATATTAAATTATCTTTATATGGGGAAGAAGGCAGGTCCAAAACCAAAGCTCTTGGTTTACCACTATGTCAATCCTACAGCTCTGAAGTAGGGTGGAGTCTCTGACAAGAAAATCAGCATTCCGGATAAAACAGCTGAAATGAGTCTCCCACTGTATGGAGAAGAAAATATGAAGACGAACATTTTTAAACTTAAAAATAAAAAAAATGCAATTAAGATACATCAGGTAAAAATCTGAAGTTTTTTAACTAAAAAAGAGCAACGGGCATACAAAAAAATGGAAGAATCGCTATGAGAAAAGAGACTTCCAGAGTAGGTAAAGTGCAAAAAGCTGGAAATCATTTCTAGTTACTGATTTGACTTCATATCTTTGATCAGTTCTTTGGACAAGAACAAAATAAGTTAAAATACTTTGCTGTAAATTCGGCTGGTGGTTGAAAGTCACCTGTTTTAAATGAAGTAGATTATAAATCACCATATAGAAAGGGCTCGAGACCAGTATGTATCCTTTACAAATTTGACTTTAAGAAAAATATGTCAGGGGATTCATGAAGAAAAACTTTCCAGCCTTTTGTTTGCACTCATGTTTAAGCATTAATGCAAGGCCTTAGGTTTCATTTCCCCAACCTCATTGATAAATAAGTAATGCTCTGCTGCATACCAACGCTTTCAGTTTGTTGTGGCCTTTTGGATATGCTCAGTTATGCACATTTCTTGCTCCCCATGTTGGATTATATAAAGTTTGTGGAAGAACTACAATATATGTGTGGCTTTCTGCCTCATTTAGCTCTTCAGAGCTTTTTTTTTTTTTGACATCTTGCTTATTACCATTTATTTATTCTCTATTAAACAGTAGTACTGAGCATGCAAAGTGTAGATTTTAATTTCCAAACCTTGTTCTTGTTTTAAGTAACAGGAAAATACACCAGCAATACCTTGCTATCATTCATTTTTATGTTTTGTAGCAAGTAATTGTATTTATTTTTTTGTGCGTTTCTGATTTATTATATCAATTGAGCGAATAGAGTTTAACTTTTCTCTTTTTTGCTCTAAGGGATTTGTTATAAACTTCTAAATAAAATGTTTTAATTCACTAGAATATTCATATTTTCTCATGGTTGTTAAAGCTTTCTTGAATTTTTTGGTACTGGTTGCTATGGAGTTGTTTTGTTATCCTTAGGTGGTATGTAATGTTTTGCATGTAATGTATTAAGGTCATAATGAAAATCAGTAACCAAATGAAAACAACTTACAGCAACTAAAAGATGAGTGTTATGTATGAGCAGAAATGCACTGTAAGTTTTGTTTTCCTGGTGTAAAAATAAGGTGGGGCCAAGTAAGGGTACAATGAACCACCCAGGAAGTAGAACATTCATGTGCTATCTGCTTTAAACAACATGTGAATAAGTATAAATAAAATGCAATTTATAAGTATGAGTGTGGATGGTATTTATTTTCCAACAGCGGTTGTAAAAGAAGTTTTCTTAGGTGAGCTAGGATCAGGTTTCCTGTGTCATTGCATAATAAACAAAGTGTTGTACTTCCAGAAACTCCCTCAGCAGGGCCACATTCATGAGATCAGATGGTTTTTGCTTTCGTTTTCCAGTTTAAACGTCACAAAGACTGATCTGCACAATTTAAATCCACACCACCTGCCTGGTGAAGTCTCAGTAGAGAAGGAGAAGCTGAAAACATCGAAGCGATCTCTGGTAAGTTTAAATTCCTCAGATGTTTTCCATCAGAAAGAGATTCATGACAATGAGTGATCACCCTATGCTTGGCTTTAAAGAATTCCCTTTGTGTTTTAGTGGATTCCCACGACTAAGGAAAGGATGGCAGATTTTCAACTACGTGACTACCAGAAGGAAGTGGTGGAAAAGGCACTGAGGGGAGAAAATGTCATAATTTGGCTCCCAACAGGAGGTGGGAAGACCCGAGCTGCTGTCTATGTGGCCAGAAGGCATCTGGATACCACACCAAATGGCAAAGTGATGGTGCTGGTGAACAAGGTACTCAACAATGAATTCAAGGATAAGAAAATTACAACTGTTACCGATTCTATCTAAGCACCAAATGTATTCGGGTTACTTTAGTACATCAACACTTTTATGATGACAGGTTCACCTTGTAGACCAACACTACACCAAAGAGTTTTGGCCTTTTCTGGGTGAAGATTTTAAACTGATGAAGGTCAGCGGTGAGAGTGACGAGAAGGATTTCTTCGGGATAGTGGTGCAGGCCAATGATGTGGTCATCTGCACAGCACAGATCCTGTATAACGCTCTGATCAACAAGGAGGAAGCAAAACACACAGAGCTCTCAGGTCTGTGAACCAACCTGATCAGGAATGTTGCTTATGATGGGTGAGGAACATTACTGTGCTTCAGCAAACTAACCACATCCTCCATTTCTCATTGCACTCAGATATCACTCTACTGATAATCGATGAGTGTCATCACACCCACAAGGAGTCAGTCTACAACAAAATAATGAGACTCTATGTGGAGAAAAAGCTGAAAGGACAGCGGCCATTACCACAGATCCTGGGTCTCACAGCATCACCTGGAACAGGAGGTGCAAAGGTGCTGGGGGATGCTGTAAAACATGTCCTGGAGGTTAGTTTAACCATGAGTTAAAGACTTGACATCACTTGTCATCAGCAACTGTTCTGAGAGCTACATGCTTGTTTTCCTCTCTGTGTTTTAGATCTGTGCTAACTTAGACTCAGTTATTGTCTCGACTAAAAACTATATCCCTGAGCTAAAGGAGAGGGTACCACGGCCAAAAAAGACCTTTGACATTGTGGAGAAAAGAGTGGCAGTAAGTAAATGTACACATTTTTAACACAATAAAAAGGGAATCTTTGCTGTTGCAAAAAGATATGCTGTAACTCCTACTGGTTATGGCACTTAACATGGGAAATGTGGCACACCAACCACCGTGGCATTTAACTGGGAGTGGGGAAAAAAATCTGCTTGCGACAGTGGAGAAGAATCTCATTTAACAGATTTCTTCCTGTTCAAAGTGAGTTTTCTTCTCCACTGTCACTACAGGCATGCTTTATGTGAGGGATTGCCTCAATGAGTCGATGCAATCAACTGGATTTCCTTAGATAGAAAACTTTGAATGTGTTTGACTGTATGATCTAGCTGAATTGTAAAGTGCCTTAAGATGACATGTGTTGTGAGTTGGCGCTATATAAATAAACAGAACTGAATTTAATTTAAATGAGCGCACACACAATCACTATTAGCTCATTAGTAGCCAGTTCTTATCCAGGACAAAAGTCATGTTTGTTGGCCTAAGCTCACCTCTTTTCTTTAAGGACCCACTTGGAGATCATATTAAGTGGATGATGCAGCTAATCCATGAATTCATGAATCTTCCCTCTGATGTGAGGCTCAGAGAATGCGGGACACAAGAATATGAGGCGGATGTGGTGGTTCTGGAGCAACGAGGTAAAACCATGGTTTGGGATTAAACTGTTTTATGAAAGAGGAGATCCGATCTTTGAAGAGTGCATCTATCTTCCTGATTCTCCTATTCAATCTGTGTAATTTGGATCAGGAGTCAGAGAGAACAACAGACTCTTGGCACAATGCGCACTCCATCTCAGGCAGTATAATGATGCCCTGCTCATCAATGATACTCTGAGAATGATGGATGCATATCGCTCTCTGGAGGATTTCTACAACACAAAGTACACCACGGCTATTGATGGAACCGACTTCTTCCTGGTGGGGCTTTTTCAAGGTAAAAAAAATACTGGAATTGATCTGTTTTGGTTTTCTGATCAACTTGAAGCTCTGTTTGTTATTCTATGTTCATCCCTGTGGGTTTGTTTTTTTTCACTACACAGAGAATCAGGTGGAGTTGAAAAAGTTTGCCACAGATCCTCACTTTGAGAACCCGAAAATGGCAAAACTTGAGAGCACTCTGGTAAGCCAGTTCGGCCCAGATGTCCAGTCTAGGGGAATTCTCTTTTCCAGAACTCGCAAGAGCACTCACTGCCTCCTTGACTGGGTCATTGAAAACAAAACCTTGCAGAGAGCTGGGATAAAGGCTGCCATCCTGACAGGGGCTGGTAATGGCATCACTTACATGACACAGGTGTGTCTCTGAAGGTTTAATCAAACAATGTAAAGCCTTTCCTTTTCTTTAACAACTCTCCAAAGAGTTTTCTTATTTACATATTCTATACTTTCTTGTAGAATGAGCAGGCAGACACAATACGGAAATTTCGAAATGGTACACTCAACCTCCTGATCTCCACCAGTGTGGCAGAGGAAGGCCTAGACATCCCTGAGTGCAATCTGGTGGTACGTTATGGACTTCTTACAAATGAGATAGCACAGCAGCAGGCAAGTGGTCGTGCCCGAGCAAGGGACAGCCAGTATTCAGTGGTTGCTGAAGCTGGAGGACGGGAGATTCGCCGAGAGCGCATCAATGAGTACCTGGAGGAGCTGACTGGAGAAGCCATTGCCAAGGTCCAAAGTATGAGTGAGCATGAGTTTCGTACCAAGGTCAGGATCTAAGAAAAACTCCTTTTTTGTTATGTTATTCTTTTCTGCTCCTCATTCCTGACGTGTTACTGCTCATTTATTTTTAGATAAACGAACTTCAAACAGAGGCCATCATTATGAGTAAAGTTTTAGAAGATCGTAAAACTGAGAAGAAAAACCGATATGCTGCCTCTAGAGTCAGGATTCTGTGCAGAAACTGTTTTGCTCAAGTTGCATCTGGGAATGACTTTAAACTTCTGGAAAATGCGCACTACGTTAACGTAAATAAAGATTTTAAGTGAGTAAATCTCTTCCTTACTTGTTTTGCAAAAGGGAACCCAATTAAAACACCATCCCCCTTTCTAACTGTTGCTTTTATGTTTGATCAGACAACATTACAAACTGGGTGGAAAGGTGCAGCTAGAGAGACGGTTTGAGGACTGGGAGCCTGGATGCACAGTCAGCTGTAATAATGGCAACTGTAATAAGGTACAGTTGACTCTCTGGTGAATTATTTAAAACCTGATCAGATTTGGTGTATATTTGCAGGTCTAACTCTTAATATTGTTTCTATTTACAGGATTGGGGATTTGAAATGAAATACAAAAAGGTGGCCCTACTTCCAAATCTAGCCATCAAGAACTTTGCTCTGGAGACGCCTGATGGAAGGATCACAGTTAAGAAGTGGAAAGATGTTCCCTTTGCGGTCGAGGAGTTTAGCTTTGAGCAGTACTATGAAGAGAACGTCGAGGGCTGGTTCGATTGAGACAAAGATAATCTCAGGGCTATATTTCATGCTCTACTTTCATTTGTTTCTACTGTATTTTCAGGTGGATAGTGTAAACATGAATTTTATTGTTGGATGTGCTTGAACATAAACAACACTCCACACATGCTAGGTTGTATTAGTGCTGCTGGGGCTGTTAGACATAAGCTTAAAACCCTATTACTCATCGATCATGCATGAAATTAGCGAGACGGCTTTGTTTATGCCCAAGGTCCTTAACCTGCTGCATGCTCTGTATGTGAGCGTCCTTGAAAGTCCTCCTTGAAACTTGGTTGCACATAAAGCTTTTACAAATGTATGTTATATAAAATATATTTTAATCTTGTTGTTGTTGAATGAAATCTGTTTTACTTTTTTATGTATGCATCTAAAGTAACTAAACCTGAAATAAACTGTTTTTAAGAATCATATCTAATGAAATAATACTTTGATTCTCCACTAGATGGCAGTGTTAGTCAATCAAAGTAAAATAGTTGGATTTCTATGGCTGTGAAGAGTGACAAAAGAACTTTTAAGCTCACTTTTTGTCAATGATCCACTAATAGCAGTGGTTCATTAACACTTAAAGAGACTCTGATAGCATAACTAAGTCTGAATCCAAATATGTACAAAACCAGAAAAGGTCAGAACCCATTGTTGCAGGTGTTTTCTTAAAATGCTATCTGTCCCTTTAGAGAGAAATGTCCTATGACACAACAGCAAAAGTATGTAGTCTACTTTAGACTGTATGAGTTAGTTTTATTCTTCTTGAAGATAAATAATTGGCATACCAGATTGAAAAAAAAAACTAAGCCTTGAAAGCATTAGAAAATATTTTAAAAAGGTTGATCTTGGTCAGCATTAAAAGTTAGAAATAAAAACCCTGTCTACTTACATGAATCACCTTTTATTAACAAACAGCAAAGAATCAACTATAAAAAGCTGCACCAAAGCAAACATGCAGCATGAAGTTAAAGCAACTAGAAAGATGGTCATTAAATTAAATCAAGAAGCCACGTTGGATAGATTCATCTTTGACCTATAAAATGTCTTTGAGCATGTCTTCAGGCAGGGACATGTATGGGTCAGCCCTGCAGTGTCACATGTGCCCTAATCCTTTCAAATCTGTCACAGTGCTGAAATCAGTGCTACTTTCATAGCTGTAATCACAATAAAAACAGACTCTGTTCCGCTTTTATTCCTGACTCAGATGTTGACGAGCAGGAGGAAGCCATGCAGGATGATCAGCTCTGATCAAGTTCAAGCTTATACAATCAGCACTGATTGCTTCCTTTTTCTTCCCAACGCAACACCCCATGCATCCTAATTGCAATTAGCTGTCTTGTGAAACTAAAGCAGCTTGGAGCACATGAACAACAGATGATATGCGAGTGCAGCTGACTGGGTTTGTGCTACAAACAAAATAGAGTCTGTTCATTGGAATTTGGGATGGACACATGTAGGCGCACCTGTATGTGCAAAAGCATGATAGAATATTTCTCCATTTCTTCACAGAAACCCTTAATTAAGTCAAAAGATTTACTGCTTCAAGCAGCTGATGGTTTGAAACAGAAAATAGCATGTTAGCCAGTTCTTTTCTTATTTACTTATTAGACTTAGGCTTTTTCTGAATTAGGAAAATTATAGCATCTGGATCCTTTTCCTTTACCTTTTGTGGGATCAATCATTAAAACAGCATCCTGAGTAGGAAAGAAGCTCTGGACTCCTGTGCTGAATCTAGACAGCCTTCCGGACGTCATTACAGGACCGAAAAGGACATGGAGGATTTTTGATAAATTGGAACTAAAGCTACTAGAAAAGTACCACAAAAAGCAAAATGTACACACGTGTTTTAAACATATGTTTATAAAATGTCTAAACATATGAAAGTATGAACATTTGCAGGTGTCACATAGACAGAAAATAAAAAAAAATATTTTTGTTAAACTCCTTGAAGTGGGCTGTGCATATGTTCTGTCACACAAAGGATAGTGAACGACCATATAGCCCCTAAGCAGCAGATAGGAACGTTGGGAGGTCCCTATGCCACAAGATAAGTTATGTTTTATTGATCTCACAAGGAGAAATTCACTGTCACAACAGGTCTCAGTGACACACAGACTGGGTGCAAATGTTGAGATCGGGGCAAGAAGAATTACATTAAAGGGACATTGTCTAAGAATTACTGCCATCTAGTGGTGAAATTGGGTTTATTACACTCAACCCTAATGCGTCACTGCCTCAAATTGTGGCAACGGTAGCCGCCGTGTGTCAAAAAGCCTGAACAATGCAGATGTAACAGAGGAATCTGATACTTCATCTAGTTTTAACTCAGGTAAAGAGGTTTGTGATTTCTTAAATATTGCAAACTGGCTAAATCTAAATAGACTGCATGTGGCAGAGATGTTCCTATAGTGATACCTAATCAATTTTCACAGGGTGGTATGTTTTGGAGCAAGATTTATAACTCTAAACTTGTGCAAAAGAAAACAGACAATAAACCCAAACCTTTTTTTTTCCTTTTTACCACATTTTTCTAGAGATGTGGAGTCAACAAGTCATCTCCATGTCATGTATTTAGGTCCCGTCCACACGAAGTCAACCCCTGGCCTAAAAGCACACATTTTCACCAAACCAGCCTCTTATCCATACGAAGCCGGCGTTTCGGGGTCTGTAAACGATCTTTTTTTTATTAAGCCTTCAGAGAGGGAAGATTTTAAAATGTTGTTTTCACGTTTCCATCTTTAAGGTCTAACCAAATTTTTTTTTTTTACACATGCGTCATAGCGTCCCCTCTAAACACGCATGCGCGACACAGTATCACAACAACAATGGCGCCGTACTGTGTTGAATGGTTGCTGCTCATGCTACTCACCCTGCTGTCGGGCTTACAACAGAATCTTCTTCTTCTGGAATATCTCCAGGAAGAACAGAGCAATATCGACGACATAGTTCAGCACCTGAATTTGACTGAACCACGAAAATGGACCCGCAGGGCCATTTTCCGGTTTTCCGGTTTGGTTGTTGTATAAATATTACTCTGTATGCCCAACATTTCGTTGCCTGTTTTCGCCTATTTTTGCTTTGGGACCACAGCGCCACTTACAGGCCTGGCATACATTTTGCAGCGTTTTCATGCATTCGTGTGGACGATCACATTTATTTTACGTCTCCGTCTTTACGACAAACGTTCTGGAAAATATTAGCGTTTCGTGTTCGTTTTGACTTCGTGTGGACAGGGCCTAAATCTAGCCAGCCAATTAACCAGGTGAGTCCAATCTGCACAGGTTGATTCATGGTGAAGATTGGACTCACCTGCTTCAGTGGGTGGGTAGATCAAATACATGACATGGAGATGACTTGTTGACTCCACATTTCCCATCTCTGCATTCTTGTTTTTTTTTTTTTTAAACATCTTAAGAGTGTTTGTTCTATATCACCTAAAGTCTCAAATGTGTATCTCTATTACTGGACTGTATATTGAAGAGATTTGTTTTCTAGCTTTGTTGTGGTCTAAAAGGGCTGTAACTGGCTAGGCTTCAAAGCACCTGCCCTGCTCTGTTTTGTGGCAACAGACAGATCTCTCACCTGCTGGGTCATGTGTCAAACTGGTCTCTGACAAAAGAAACACTCATGCTGTCTACAATTTAGAGCACATCCTTTTTTGTGCTTTGATAGTTGTCACACACTCCACAGTTCAGGACAGCGGTTCATCCAGAACATAGACAGTTACATTCACTGCCCAGTTGGCTTCTGTAAGGTAGTCCTCCTTTGTGTCAGCTTTCTTGTCTTTAGACAGCTGCAAATTTTGGTGAGTCATCTGCTCAGAATAATATACAGACTTAGATTAAAAACACTTATAGGTAAATGAAAAATAGAGAGTAAAGGCAAAAAAAAAACAAAGAGGAACAAAGCTTAGTCTGATTGTTTTGCTCTCTGGAATTAAAAGACTGTTTAAAAAGATGGAATGAATACTTTGAGGAACTCCTCAACCATCACTCCTTTCCTGGTGGAAGCAAAGAATTGGTGCTCAGACTTAAACATGTTCATCACCCAAGCTGAAGTCATTAAGGTGGTCAAAAAGCTTCACGTTTGCACAGCTCCAGGTTGTTTTAAAGAAATAAGCAACATTGAGAGACACTTTCCTATCATTTTGTACTCAAGGCTCATTGGTCAAAATTTTTTTTCTGCATCTACTGAGTCTGCCGTGTCATTTATGGATTAAGTGAAAATACGGGAAAGTATATTGTAACTTAACCTTTTCTAACATACTGTAACTGTTGATTTTGTAAGTTTTATAACAAAAAAAATGTCAAATCAACTGTTATGATCATGGGTAGTAAGTAGATCAGGTACTCAGTACTTGAGTAGGTACCTTTTTTGCCAAATTTTTACTTTTACTGAACAAAATATGATGAAGTAGTGCTGCTCTTACTTCAGCACAATTTCTGGGTACTCTAGCCACCTCTGCTATCAGGTTAACCCCTAGAACCCTACGGACCCACCGGTGGGTCCAGCTGCTACGTGACCTCGTAATTTTAACAAACCCCGAGTATTGATGCAAAAAACACATTTGGCACAGTTTGGTGACATTTATGGATAAATGTGCCAAAATGGCCCCTCCGCCTAAGAAATGTCTCACTAATACCATTCTAAAATAAATATGATTCATCTGATTGAGTCCAAATTTGGTATATTTTTACCAAACATTTAGATTTAAAAGTCTGTACTACTTTTTTGTGCTATAAATAATATTTTGGTAGTGTTTTGCAATGTTTATTTCAAAGAAAATGCAAATGCAAAAAATGCAAAATATTTTGTATTTTGTCCCTAATATTTCAGGCAGGGTCAAAGCTACAATGGTGCTGACACCAGAAAACCATTCTATGACATCTTACCTTTACAGACGTACCAAAAGTTTCTTCTTAAATCTAATAGCTGTGAGGCTATAAGTGATTTACTTTTGTGTGTTTTTGTCAGGCACAAATGTATTTATACCCCCTTAGGGTGTAAGAGGTTAAAATATAAGCCAGTCTTATCCTTTTTATCTTCTGTTAAACTTTTCATTATGGTTTTAAAACAAAGAAGTGAGCACCAATGGTGGTCTGGTGGGCTTGTGAGCGGATGTAGAGACAACAGACTGATCCTGAAGGTGGAGAAGACGAAGGAGATCATCGTCGACTTCAGGAAGCCTAACCACGCACCACAACTTCTACAGAAGCACCATAGAGAGCGTTCTGACCCGCTGTCTCATTGTGTGGTGTGGAGGCTGCAGCGCCTCAGACTGGAAAAAGGTAAGAAGAGTGGTAAGAACAGAGAAGATCATCGGGGCTGCTGTTCCCTCCATAAAAGACATTTCATTCCAGTGCTGCATGTCCAGAGCCCATAACATCACCAGTGACC